ATGTACCTTTAGACATCCGAATCATATACAAACTCTGCTTCAAATATAGTCGATTCTCGATTGTCTTGTTCATATACAAGATTTTCAATTTATCCCACATAACCTTGGCCGAAGTATCCATTGCTACCTCACGCAATACCTCATCGGAGAGATTTAAGATTATGCTGGATCTGGCCTTCTTATCCATATCGGCGAAATCCGCATCCTTTACATCTTTTGGCTTTTTCTCAATTCCTTGAATTGACAAGTCAACTCCGTCTTGAACAAGAATGGCCTCCATCTTGAGCTGTCACATGGCGAAATTGATATTCCTATCGAATTTTTCGACAACTGTCTTTGTTATCGTCATTTTTGCCACAAAATCTATAACTTGAAACTTGTTTCAAAAAACTGGTCAAACAGATATGCAAGTCTCGTGAGCGGGCCCCACAGGGTGAGCGGGCCCTACGAGATAAGCGGACCCCACAAGGTGAGCGGGCCTCACAGATGAACGGATCCCACAGGATGAGTGGGCCCCACAGATGAACGGGCCCCACCAGATGAACCTGTCTTGCAAAATATAACAACCAACTCTGATACCAGTTTGTTAGGACTGACCCAAGAATAAACAAACTAAAGTTAGCACAAATTAGGCGGTATAACCGACCATATAATGTTTAGGCGGTAGACACCAACCATATAATAATTAGGCAGTAAAATCTATCATATAAAGGGATTGTGGCAACCCAATAAAGACAAATAATAAAGGAAATAAAAGACACAGAAAATTTACGTGGTTCGGTCAAATTGACCTACGTCCACGGGCGAGAGAGGAGCAACATTTCTACTTTGAAGAAGAAATACAAAAGCCGTAGGAAAGTGGTTCCTAGGCCAATAAGGCACTTACAAAAGAGTTTAGAAAATATTCCTAAACTCAAAACAAGAGAGTCTAAAATATTTGACTAAATGGGCTATATGACTCAAGAAACTAATAACCCATATAACTCTCTTGAGTGGTGCGAGTTAAAACCTTCATAAGGCTCCCTTATTTATAGAAAACCAAAGGAATAATTCCTTTAGCTTCTACCGATGTGGGACGAAGCAACAAAAGCATTGGTCAACAAATGCGGATTCAACAATAGTCATGATGCTAATGGAAAATTTAGAAAGGAATCCATATAAGATTAATAACAATTTTTTTAATGAAATCCACGGGAATTTCAATTTTGAATTCTAATTTAATTGCCCAAGTAAAAGTAGAAGAACCAAATTTTGAATTATGATTGAAATTTTACAATGAGATTGGAATGCCTCAAACGATTCTTAGATTATTAACATTTTTTAACAGAATTTTGCTTTCATTTGATTGGCAGTTTTATTTTATGTCTCTAAGTATGTTGTGATCAAAGCATTTTGATCAATTCAAAAAAAAGAAAGCAAGCAAAACACTGGCCAAGAAACAAGCTCCTATGCTCAAAGGTTTGGGCTCGTGAAAGGAAGGGGCCAAGGCAAGAGTAAGGTGGAAGAACTAGTAGTAGGATCAGGAAGTACGGATGATTGAGATTGCATTATGCTCTTTCAAATTTTTGCGCTTCTGAGGGTGATGGACCTAGTTGCCTACATTTCTCGGATTTGCAACTCTTGAAGGTTGCTTTATTCTGATCCATGTCTATGAGAAACTATAGATCTTGCTATGTTTAAAAGTTGCTAGCTTGAACGTTAACAGAAGAAAAAGATTCTGAATTTTGATTAAAACTTTACAATGAGAGTCAGATGCCTTAAAAAATTCCTTACATCACTAAAATAATTTCTGCATTGTAGATTTTTCTTTTTTATTTCACTTTGTTTGATTAGCATTTTTCTTTTACATTCCCATATGCGTTTGATAATAAAGTTTTGATTGACTGAAGAAGAAGAAGAAGTAAGCAGACAAAAAGATGGCTAAGAGATAAGCATGTATACCCATTACCCAAAGGCAAGGTTAGGCACAACGGCAAGGCCGAGGAGCCAGTACAAGGATTAGAAACGATGGATGATTTGGATTCCAATATCCTCTTTCAGATCTTTGCTAAATTGAGTGTAATGGGTCTAGTTGTTCGCGTTTCTGGGGTTTGCAGCTCTTGGAGATCACTTTCTTTGAGCCAAGTAATCTATGGAAAACTTTAGAACTAGAAAAGTTCAAAGCTACTTCAATTCCAAGAAGTACTTAGATAGAGCAAATGAGTGCAGTTTAATGTCCTTCAAGGTGGCTTTGAATCTTGAAGGTCGACACATAGAGAAACTTATTTTTGATCACCAACCTGATGTAACAGATGAGTTGTTGATCTTTGCAGCTCAAAGGTTTTCTGTTCCACCTAATCTCTTTCTGCTTTTCAAATTTAGAATTATTGATAGAAATTTTCTATCAGTGGATACTTGTTAGTGTACCTAAATTGCACGTAAAGTTTCATATTAATATATTCAATCACAAATATTGCACCTGTTATATTTAGATGCTTTCTCAAATTAATTGCACTTTTTGAAAAAAACTAACACTGGAGACCTCTCTTATTGAGTATTCATTGGGTATCCGTTAATCAAACCATTGTTTATAGTAGATTGACTAAAAGACAATCATTCAAAAGGTTGACAAAATATATGCTTGTTGTTTTAGGAACATTGCAATATTAAGTTATCTTCTTGGTGCGCCAACAATTGAATTTTGATTAAAATTTTACAATGGGAGCCAAATGCCTTAAAAAATACCTTACATCACTAAAATACTTTTTTGCATTGCAGATTTTTTTATTTCACTTTTATCTAATTGGCATTTTTCTTTTATGTTCTCATATGTGTTTGATAACAAAGTTTTCGTTGACTAAAGAAGAAGTAGCAGACAAAAAGATGGCTAAGAGACAAGCTCGTATGCGCAAAGGCAAGGGTAAGGCTGAGAATCCAGTACAAGAATTAGGAATGATGGATGATTTGGATTCCAATATGCTCTTACAGATCTTTGCTTAACTGAGTGTAATAGATCTCATTTTTGGGGTTTGCAGCTCTTAAAGATCACTTTGCTTGGAGCCAGTTGATCTTTGGAAAACTTTAGAACTAGAAAAGTTCAATAAGTTACTTTAATTCCAAGAAGTACTAAGATAGAGCAAATGAATGCAGTTTAATGTCTGGCTTTGAATCTTGGAAGCCGACACATAGAGAAACTTATTTTTTTATTATTCATCTAATGTAATAGATGAGTTGTTGATCTTTGCAGCTCAAAGGTTTAATGCTCTCCCCAATCTCTTTCTATGCTCAAAGGTTTATCTTTAATAGCATTCCTGATGTAACAGATGAGTTGTTAATTTGCAACTCCAAGTTATCCTGTTGATTGTTTTTAGTCATTTATCATTTTTTTCTACTTTTCAATTTTAGAAATGCTTAAAATAAATTGATTAAAGAATGAATAATCTTTCTACACTATTAGTATGTATACACTAACGGGTCTGAATATATGCCTTGTTATCTTAATTTGAATTTGAATACTAAACTTTGCATATGTGGCATGCATCTAAACCTATAAATGTATACATTATCAGTGTATAAAAGAGTAACATTTAAAAAGACATATTTCAAAAGATCGAGAGTATCTTTTGGTAAAAAATTATCGAATTATTTTGTTTGCACATCAAAGCATTTCACATGATTTATGATTATACCTAATAACATTTAAATTAGAAGTTAAAAGCATAAAAAAAAATTCAGATATAGAACAAATCTATATAGGCCTAAAGGATTATTAAATAATTGTATTAAATTTGAATGTGTGCTCTTAATTCTCAAAATTTTGCATAATCAAAAGTTGTTTCCCAAAGCATGTTGGCGTTGTTCTTTTAATTAGTATTTGCAATGTAAATTGCATTGAATAACTTCTCAAGATGATTTGCCACTATAAGAATGCTTGAAAATTTTTCTCTAAGAAATGACCATTAGTTCCCGTTGGCATTTTTGAACTTTGACATAGAAGAAAATAATAACTTAAATTTCTTAGTTGTTGAGATTTGGAAGAGGTACTGCCATCTTGATATTTCTCTACAATCCAAGGACTAACAAGAGGTTTAGAATTTTGGGTATCCTTAAATCTTTCTTCTTCTCATTCTATTTTTTTTTTGTCTGTTCTCACGCCTTCTTTCAAATTAGTAGTGTAAATGGCAAGAACTTGACCCATGCTCAAGCTTCTCTGTTGTGTTTGTCTTTGTGAAGTTGCTTCTATCCTAGCTGAATATTTGGCAGGATTGAAAGTGTAAACCCTTTGATCTGTTGAGATTGAGAAAAAGTTGCACAGATTTTGCTAGACCAATTGGTAAACCTTGAGGACCTCTACTTATCCCTCAGTTCAACTGGATTTGTAACACCTTTTAGAGAATGTATATTTCTTCCACCATATTCATTATGAAGCAATGGTCCAGAAAGTTTCCAAGCTTCGAATATTCCATTTTTGCATAGGATATTGTGTGCCTTGTATTGCTATAACCATGAATCAACATCCCTGCAAGCTTTTAATCTTCCTCCATCTATATAGCTCATGCTATGGATTCTAACACGATATCATTTTCATGCAATGGATTCTAACACAATGTCATTGTATGGCAAAGCTATATCAGTTTGAAGACTGTATCGCAAACTGGATCACAAACTGCTTGAAGACTGTCTCTTATTCATTCAACTGCAATGGAGAAATCAAAGGCTTTGTGACTCTAGAAAGAGGAATATGACAGGGAAACCCTTTATCTTCTTATTTATTTTTAATATGCTCTGAAGGACTCTCCAGTCTGCTGAGGAAAAGATGAAGATAGTCAAAGGATCAAAGGACTGAAGATCAGCAGGCAAGGACCTGTTCTTACTCATCTTTTCTTTGCAGATGATTCCCTCATCTTCTGCGAAGCTGACAAGCAACAGGCTGCTGAAATAATGAAAGTCCTTAAAATCTATGAAGCTGCTTCAGGACAACTGGTCAATTTGGACAAATCTGTAGTCTTTTTAGCAGAAACATGCACAGTGAGCAAAGGGAAGAAATTTGCCAAGCACTGGGAGAGATGGTTGAGGCAAAGCAAGGAAAATACTTGGGACTTCCAATGGTGATTTCCAGAACTAAAGATCAGATCTTTGGCTTTGTAAGAGAAAACATCAAAAGAAGACTTCAAAACTGGAAAAACAAATTCCTCAGCTCTGCAGGGAAAGAGGTAATGCTGAAGGCAGTTGCTATGGCCATACCAACGTACGTCATGTCATGTTTCAAGCTGCCTAAAAAACTCTGCAAAGATATAAGTGCTTTGATGGCTAACTTTTGGCGGGGAGAAACAAATGGCAGAAACAAAATGCACTGGATTTCTTGGGAAAGAATGACACGGAAGAGAAATGAAGGAGGTCTTAGTTTCAAGGACCTTGAAGCCTTCAATAAAGCATTGTTAGGGAAGCAGATATGGAGGATCCTTACCAAGCCAAACCTTCTTGTTAGTAAGGTGTTGAAAGCTAAATACTTCCCTAAGGAGTCCATTCTACATTGTATCCCCCCAAAAATGCCTCCTGGATATGGCAAGGATTAATGGGAGCAAGAAGTCTACTGGACAAGGGTCTGATCAGGAGAATTGGGAATGGAAGGAGTACACGAATCTGGGAACATAAATGGATACCAGAGACAATCACAAGTAAGCTCACTACAAGTAGACCAAGTAACTGTGAGCTGGAAAGGGTGGACGAGCTTATCTGTCACAACAGATGGAACAGGAACACCATCTTTAGATTGTTCAACAGATATGATGCTAAGAGGATTCTAAGTATTCTTTTAAGCCTGTCAGGGAGGGAAGACAGCTATTTTTGGCAACCACAGGCTGGAGGAATGTATACGGTCAGCTCAGGTTACAAAATCCAGAGAGAGAAAAATAGTAATGCAAGGAAATATAACTCAGAGGAAGCTAGCTCAAGTTATACAGATGGGAGCCAACAAGTGACACAGATGTGGAACACACTCTGGAGGCTCAACATAAAACATAAGATTAAGCTCTTCATTTGGAAATGTATACAAGGAGCCTTGCCAGTTAGAGAAGCAGTGTGTAAAAGAACAGGAATGAGTGATCCTATGTGCAGAACCTGTGGAGAGGCACAAGAAACAATTGAACATTTATTGCTAACATGCCCTCACACGGTGGACATATGGAAGACAGCTCCTATTCAATGGGATGGGGATAAGGACCAGCAGGAAGACTTCAAAAGGTGGTGGCTCAGAATCTCAGAAGCAAGGGGAAGACCAGAAGGAAGGGAACATGTTGGTCTGACAGCAAATATTTTGTGGCAGGTATGGAAAGATAGGAACAAAAAGGAATTTGAGAGCTTAACTAGATCCACACCATTGAGAACAGTAGAAAGAGCACATAAAGAATGGCTAGAGCAAGTGGAAGTGGAGAAATCAAAAGGTAGAAAGAGTACAGAAGAAATAGTCCACATGCATGAACAACACGACCAGGGCAATGAAGCTGAAGGAACAATAGTCATGGACTTGGCAACAACTACAATGAAAGGACTGAACAACCTGGGCATTGGAGTCACAGTTAGGACAAGTTCAAGCACGAAAATAGCAGAATGGAAGTTGAAAGAAAGAAGCCTGGGGAACAAAGTACTAGATGCTATGCAAGCAGTAAAACTAGTTTTATGCAAAGCTCTGCAATATCAGTGGAGTAGAATCAGGCTCAACTTAGATAACAAGGAGCCGTTGAAACAAATAGCACAAGCATAACTCCAGGATAACAGAACGACTACATTGCTGGAGGATATTGCTAACATGCAGAGACTGTTTTGCATGTGCTTCTTTTGTTTGAGTAGGGAAGAAAATGTGATAGACAACAGAAAACTAAGTGCTGATGCCTTAGGCATTATTGTGGATGAGGAAAGGAATCTTCCTCAGTGTCTTTGAACACTTTTTGTACAGTTCTCTCGAGCCGTTGCTCGTACATGTAGCTTTCCTTACTATAATGAAAATCTCCTATCGTTTCGACAAAAAAAAAAATTCAGTTTGAATAAAGTGTTGTCAGAGTCTTTGCATGTAAACTTTAGGAAAAATGGATTAACATATAAGGAACTCAATTGTAGGACATATATTGTAATTAATTTGGATTTGTATACAGTATATGTGTACAAAAAGAGTGCATTATATGTGTATAGTTAAAGTTCAATATATATATGTATATATATGGAAAAAAGTCCCAATACCTCTTCAATTAATAATCGGGTGAACTTTTGGCGCTTCAACAATTAAAAGTAAACTTTTGACCCTCAATCTATTAAAAGTATTAAATGTTAGGCCTTTCGTCAATTCCAGCAATTAAGAATGACAGAAAACAACATCATATCCTGTCTACAAGGAATTAGCAAGGGTATTCTTGTCTGCACGTCCTCGATGACCACGTTGACCTCTCTCTTCTCCGCCATGACGGCTGCAGCTCCATCCACGAGAGCGGCGCTGCTAGAATCAGGTAATAAAGTAGCCAATAAAGTAGTTGAACAACTCAAATCCATCTAAAATTAGCTTTAAAAAAATGCGACAGTCAACATTATCGGGTATAAAATCAGAATTGTTAGTTTAGGACACAAATCAGGAAAAAAAAATTCACACACACATAGAGAAAAAGAAGGGAAGAAGGAATCAAATACAAAGATGCAGCAATCCAATACAAAAATCCAAACATACCTTTTTGAATTCCTCCTCCAAAGTGCTGAGCTTACCACACTTTCCAATCCCTGTTATTTTTAAATAATAAATATTCATATAATTTAATTTACATAGAAAAGCATTTCCAAGAAGATCCGAAAGTTTTTGCTATGGAGGATTGCAGATACATATAGAGTTTTAAGAAAATATGATGACACTAATTCTTCCATTTTCAAATAAAAAAAAAACTCACTAACTAAATTCATGACCCATGGGCTTTAACTATCTCGGGACAGTAATTAACAATCCTTCCACTGACATGACTATCTTTCCTAATTAAATTCCTTCCTTTTGTATTTTGGTTTTTTTCCTTTTCCTTCTTTTAGTATTTGAGAGAGAGGGGGGAGAGTTAGCAGGGAGATGAAGTCTTCCTTGTGGCATATAGCAGCTAAATTAAATTTCTTCCTTTTATATATTGGCTTTCCCCTTTTCTACCTTTTGTATTTGAGAGAGAGAAACAGAGAGGGGTCCTCTGCCGATGAAGTCTTCCTTGAGGCTTATAGTAGTGGCAGCAGGACAGAAAGTGATAAGTGACTAATTTATGTTTTAATTGTATGACATTTTATATTATTTTTAGTCAATTTGGTTATATTACTGGAAGAAAATGAATCATTTTAGCTATAATTAGTGAAAAATGCTTTTAAGTGATTAAATGAGGTTTTTATCACTTTTTACTTGGATTTTGTGTATTTTGACAGTTTTGACACATTTTCGTATTTCGGCTATAACTTGAGCTACAGTGATTGGATTAAGATGACTCTTGAACCAATTTGAAGATAAGAGATAGATCTATAACTTTGGTGAAGATATCTGAATCCAGTTTGAATGTTTTCCAAATCAAAAAGTCGAAGTACAGTAGCCAATTTCATTTGGTCGAAGCTGAAACAGGGCATTGAGCAGTCAAGGATATTTTGGTCATTTCTCAGCCTACACAGATTCAAATGAGGTGATTATTGATGCATTGGAAAGCTAACTTAAAGGACTACAAGTTTTATGTTTTGGTCAAGAGCTAAATCAGCTTTTATCATCAAAAAAAGTTCAGTTGAAGTTGATTCAAAATCGGAGCAGAGCTGGAAATTGAACAAAAGTGCACCAAAACATCACTGTAGCAATCCGGCCGGAACTTGGCCAGATTTGTGGCCGGATTGTGGTCAGAGAAGGCTGCTCTTTATGCGGAAAACTTATTTTCACCTCCAACAAGTCACATGCAATGCCAGACGTGTGAGAACCACTTTGCAGCTGTAAAAGGGTGGTGTAGGCCTCATTTTCTTGACTTCTTCTATCTTTATATAGCCAAAACTTGCAAGATTGAAGGGAGAATAGAGAGACATACGGGAGAACTTGGAGAGTGCAGAAATGTAGCTCTTTCATCTTCTGAGTGTTAGGTTAGCATTAGTGTAGACTAGTATAGTTCATCCATTCTTGTATTTTAGCTAGATTAGGATGAAGATGGAGAAGAAGAAGGAGGAATTGAAGCTCAAGTGACATGGGTTATCTCTTCTCCAACTCTTTATCTTTTGTATCAGATTCTTAAGTATAGTTGATATGCAAGTTCTGGATTTTGTATTCAATATGTGTCTCTAAAGTTTATGCCTTAGGTTTGGTTGAACTTTCTATAATTGTTAGTGTTTATTATTTGGTTATTTGATTGCTATGATTTGAGCAAGTTATTTAGCACTTTGGCTCTTTAAATCATGATTAATCTGGTACAATTGATTGTGATTATCTAAGGTGTTATTTCTACAATGAAAATTAAGATTTAATACTAGTTCAAGAAGTGCTAAACATAGGGAGTACACTCACGAAAGTAGAGGTGCACCTATGTGGTTTTTAGTGAGTCATTTCATGTAATTTCACTGAAGAAATGAACTTGTAACTAATTTCATAACCATGAGAATAGGTATGGATTAGTTATAAGTATAGTTGATTCACTACGAAAGTAGGTTTCACATGTTTAAGGAAATTACACCATAACTAGCCTAGATGTAGTACTCAATGATCCAAATATAGCACTTGCATGAGTAGTTAGGGATACCATAACCTAAGGAACTTCCATTTGTTATTTTATATAATTTCAGTAGGTTTAATTTGTTATAATTCATTGATAGTCTAAATAATAGAGAAGGCTTAGTAATACCAGTAATTGTTCACTCTTCCCTGTGAGATCGACCCGATATATACCCTAAACTATTAGTTGACCTGTATACTTGCAGTGAACGGGTGTAATTCGATTTTTTAACTTGTACGTATATGTAAAATACCCGTCAGAAAGATGAAGTCTTCTTGATTGTTATTGAAAATGACACAGGACTAAAGAAAAGGGGCTGTAAAATGTTCCTTCAATTAGGTTTTTTTTGCTGCCTTTCACTCGAGGAATTCTCATGGGTGGACAAGAATGCCCCTACTAATACTCGTGGAGCACATGTGATGTTGATTAATTCTGTCATCCTTAACCGCTGGAATTGACAGAATGCCTAACATTTAGTGCTTTTGATAAATTTAGGGTCAAAAGTTTATTTTTAATTATTGAAGGGTCAAAAATTCACCCGACTATTAATTGAAGGGTCATTGGGACTTTTTTCTATATATATATCCTCTAGGCAAAAATATTGGCTTTTTCATAAACATCTAAATTGCGGTCAATGTGGCATATTTGTTCAATAGTCTAGAAACAATTTAAGAAAAATCTTAAGTTTTGTCTTGTAGATGGAAAATTTTATATGTTGACATTGTTAGGATATCAGGCCAACTATTTGAAATAGAAAAAAAAAATCAATAATTTAATAATAAACGATATCTAGCACGAATAATGAGCAACACACAAGAATTAACGTAGTTCGG